TCTTTGATATGTACCGTTTCCTCGAGAGAATTGAAGAATCTGAAGGAACTTGCTCTCTGTCTCGTTATGTTGTACACACACACACACACACACATATATATAGATATAACGTGAACATGTATGTATGACGTGAACCTATATTTCTTTCACGCACACCAGGTCTCTTTTTCTCTCTTGTCGAGCTTTTATTGTCAACAGTTTGAGTCTCTCTAACGTAGAAAGGCATATCGGTTTAAGCGACTTTTTTCTTCCTTTTTTTTTTTTTTTGAACAGCTGCTCGGTTTGATTTAACAGCGGCGATTGTCGTGTCGTACAGTTATTTCGCACACGTTTTTCTTTATTTTTATTCTTTTTTACGTTTAATCAACGTCCCATTTAGGCCGTTGCTCGAGGTATTTCGACGATTGAAGCGAACTACGTGCACGATTCTTTTTTTTTTCTTTTTTTCTTCCCCCATTTATGACGATTATACTCGTTGTTTCTCTACGAATATTACGAATAAGAATCATCCATTACGATTTAAGATAGAAGCGATTAAAAAAACTAGATATACACGCGTTACGAATGAATCACGCCACGTGAGGAAAAGACACTTTTCCATTCCTGTAATACTTCTAACACTAACTGACCAAATTCTTAATCGAGGAATTTCTCTTCGTGCGGCACAATTTGAGACCGCACGCACATCGATATCAAACAATTTTGAAACAGAACGAGCCGATTAGATGAAAAATAATCCAACGATTATATTTTGTACAACGTGGAACGAGATAAATCATATTCACAATATTATTTTCGTCATTATTCGGACTATTATCAGTGAAACATTGCGAAAGAATAACAAACATAAACAGAGTGACAAGGTTAGATTCGCAATCGTATTCGTATCGTACAAGCGATTTAATTCGATTAAACGAAGGATCAATGGAGGCCATTTTCTTGCGATACAAAGATGTTCGTTAAACGAAGAATTGGTTTAAAATATTAATTTATAATTATATTTTTCCCCGTGAGATAATATTTATTATTTATGTACACTTCAAAATCAAAAGATGATAATAATTTTGGCTATTACACACGATTTTAACCCCCGAAGTTTGAAACTCATTGAATCCAAACTAAAAATCCGTGTTTGGCATCTTAATTTTTAAAATCGCAATATTTTCGTCCCTCGAGTTATAGTTCTTACTAATTATTCTAATTAGTTGGCGGGGGTATTTGAACTCTCTCTTTCGCTCTCTCTTTCGCACCTTACATATCGTCAACATCATTATCAGTTACATTCCAACAAACGACTAGATCACGATGGTTGGATCTCAACCAGATCCTTAAATGCTACGGAGCTCGTGGTTAAGCTAATTCCAGTTAATGATATATTATTTTATCAAATATAAACCACTTCGCTATCGAATAATGTAACATTACGAATATAGAGATACAAGTAGGCAAAAGGCAAAAACGCAAACATAATTATTATTGATCTCAATTGACGTACATTTATCCCACCTTGTTAATTGTCCACTTGCGCGCGCGCCTTTAGATGGCAAAAAGAAAAAAAATTTCGCAAGACTTCCCCAAGTGCAATTATTCAATCCTATATTCTTATTCGATGCTTCTTTGTCGCAACGACGGTTTCGAAGAAGCAGTGTCCCTAAATACAAGATAATTAATAGTATTCAATTCACTCGAAAGAAAAAAATTGTGGCCAAATTAGACGTGGACGCTTGACACTTTAAAAGAAAAAATATACACATATAAAAAGAACAAAAATTAAACGAATAAAATTCACTTTTTAAATTACAAACGCGTAGATCTTTCCAAGAAAAGTGGAACACTGTGTATCATCATGTTAAAATCAAATATACATACTCTCTACTGCAACTTACTACGCAAGAAACAAAAAAAAAAAAAAAATATTTATGATTTCCTTCGATATACGCGCCTCTTACCACGTTATATTTTGTACTAATAAAACTACGGAACACTGTCGCGTAAGTACACCAAACCTTTCTTCATGACGATTGCACGAAGCTTCCGTAACTAGCGCCGCGTGAACGTCCCTCTTTTCCCCTCTCCCTTGAACGCATAAATAATTCGCAACATAGAGAGGAGCTCGCGTCGTTGTATGTACACAGGAAGAAATTCGTGCGCTCACTCAAGTGTTAACAGGCGCCATCATCCTGTTGGTTTTCGAAGTTCCAAGATGGAGGACGCACATGTGTTATAACTTATCCGCATTTGTATTCTCTTTCTTCGTTATTCACAAGTCAACGACGCGTTCTCTCTCACTCAGAACGTTCTTTACCACTGAATAAGTTATTCGATAATAGAAATAAAAGTGTCTCTCTGTAAATCAGCCTTTCCCGTTTATTAGGGCCGATCGCCAAGGCACGTGTAGCAAGGTTATGTTATCCGAGTTCTTCGCACGTGTGTATACTGTCTGTGTTTTGTGTATGAAACAGGAAGAACGACAACTTCGGTTCGTTTAACGGATATACGTGTAGGATATGTGTAGATTGTGTCTTTCGATCGCGTCTTTGGACACGAAACATCGAGACAGCCTTGCGAACCGCGCGTGGGCTCTTCTGCTCTCTTCTTTTCGATCTTCTGCTGGAACCCGATTGTCATGCGAGAGAATCGGGTGATCCTCGCCTGGTGATTTCGCTCGACTCAGACGCTGCAACCGGAAGTAACTTCCTCGCTATTTTGCTGATGAGACCAGCGACATTGGTGACAGCTTTTTGGCTCCTCGGGAGCAGCCGCCACGCCACCTGATGCCCTTAAACCTTGCTCGAGCTCTAACAATTGTCCCATGAAGTTGAGATTAGGACTGATGATAGGTCGTGCGTTCTTCACCAATTTGTAGGCCTCCACCATGGACAGGCCCTTGTGTCGCATTATATACGCGATTGCGATTGTCGCACTGCGCGATACTCCCGCTTGACAATGCACTAACACGCTGCTTCCGGCTTTTCGGGCTTCCTCTGTAGAAAAAAAAAGAGATTATTATTAATTACTTTTATTAAAGAGGTTAAACGGGATAATTCTGTAAATAAATTTAATATTAATATTTCGGAATAAAAATTTGATTTTGGATGTACATTTCAGACAATACTTTACAACATTTTGTATCATTTGTATTTATTGAATTTTTTGTTAGTGGCTTATTGGAACTAAATTCCTGTCGATTGAATCTATTTATCCGACCATGAACTCTTATTATACGAATTTATGTTTGTCCTCCGACAACGACATAGATAAATAGATATATTATGTATTTAATTTCTTTTCGTACCGATAACATGCTTATTAAATCTTTCTCTTTCTTAAATATTATCTTTAATTTTATTTTTTACTCTACAATTTTATCCATCTACTTTATTACTCAAAGAAATTCGAACCGCGTAAAAAGAGAGAAATGGATCTAGAAAGCGAGGCAACTAAAGTTTTCTACATCATCTGAATTTCTAGAAGTCGATTTAAGAGCAATAATCCATCGAACTGCAACTCGGCCGAATGACAGGACTGTGCTGTAAAACAGCAAAACGAAACCAGCCGCCAAACAGGCGATTCGATTACGTAATATAGGGAAGGCTATCGTATCGCCAATGAGTCATGGCGACGCGGGCCCGTATCTTATGCGACGTTACTTGTACTCGATTTGACGTAGAAAAGAGAGGGAACATGAAAGCCGATGCAAGTGCACACGCGTGCAGATTTCGCGACATCTATGGAACAAAAGGAATTAAGAATTATTAAACGAATCGAAGAACGTTATTATATTAAAGAATCTTTGTGACTATAAATGTCGACTGAAAATATATTAATTAATATAATTATATACGAAGTGTTAATATATTCGTGTTAATATCTTCGAAGAATAAATTCTAAAAAGCGAGTAAATATTTATCAAGTTATAAGCAGCTCAACTTTGTATCAGATGAAGCGAGATCAGCTCTATCTCCGTCATATTATCGTCACGCTTCATATAACTACTTAATTTGCTTATATAACGTAATAATTATAAATAAGCATTAACATTTTTGTATATCAATTTCCATGCTTTTAAAATTGACCTCTAAAGATCACGAATACATTAACACTTTACACTTTGTGAAATAATTACATTTAACATTAACGTAAAAATTCTTTTCACTTCGTTTCAATCGATCAATTTAATACTATTCTATATAAGTTACTTAGATCGTGCATCACAGAACAAATTACCAGAGACAGGGAGCGAGACAAAGGGATAGGTGTTGTTTCGAGAAACACCCTACGAAACACGTATCCGGATAGCGTCGATTAATCGCTAATCCGCGCTAAACGGCGATAAGCAGCGCGACTAATCTTATCTGGCCACGAATTGAGGGGGGTCACGTAATAGAAGTAGTTTAGGTAAACGTTAGTCGAGACATTGGGGGGGGGGAGGGG